TGAGAATAATTTAATTCTTTTGGCTTGTCTGGATAAATTTTCTATAATGAACTTGTATCATTTCTATAGTAAGAAAAATATCTAGTATAGCATGAGAATAAAGAATGAAGATTTGAATGCTTACAATGGAAATGATACATGAAATACAGAAATAGAAAGAAGAAGTTGCCAACATCATTGCACCTCTAAGTAGGAGAAAATTCGTCCAACTTGCAGAAAATGAGGAAACCTTAAATTGGAAACTCATAATACCTCATTAAAGAACTGCATAATGCAAAAAGATGGCAGAACATTTTTAAGAAGTTCTGAGTAGGAATGAACAAAGAGAATTCAAGAATGGACTTCTTCCTAGTGCTGGACAATGTGAAATTTCAGATGCCGTAATGGATTATCTAGAGTTACTCAAAATGTAGCAGGTAGACTGCTTTACACACAACCTGAAGGGAACGGGGAGGGGGAGAACAAGCTAAAATGATAGAAAGAATGAACATTATGACACGCACATACTCAGGCAAACATTTTTCCATCTGTAAGGCAACAATGCTATGACCCTTCCCATCAAACCCTCTTCCTTTGTATTTATAGCATCCCAGTACCAACTTAGAGCAAAAACTTAAAGCAGACAGCCTTAGCCAGAAATACAGAACCAAATACTTGGCATAGATGTTAAATTGACTCTTAGGTAATTTTCAATTGAAACCTCTACTCTGATTCGAATTCAGGCATCTTTAAATGCTTCTGAATGTTCTTGCTCTAAAATTTTCTATACAATTGTTTCTGGGTTTTTTGTTTGTGTGTGTGTGTGTGTGTGTGTCTTTGTTTGTTTTCTTTTGTTTTTAAGTAGGAAGAGGTGAAGGAAAACATCTCTCTTTTGGAAGGTAACAGCTAGAATATTGAATCAGTCCTTTCTGCCTAGACTCCCCAAGACTGATCCTTAAAAGTTTACACATAAAAGAATTTGCCTAAAATAATTTTCAAATACTTTAGTGGTATAGACTAATATAAGGCAATTGAGAGAAAGAAGTTAACCAAGAAGTTATGGTCAAAAAACCTAAAAAACAGTTCAGGTACAGATGTTCCTGACTATAATCTCAGCTACTCAGGAAGTGTTGATTGAGAGGGTCACAGTTCAAGGCCACCCTGGGCAAAAAGCAGCAAGATCCCATCTCAACCAAGAAGCCATGCATGGTGGCCCACACTTTTGTACTGCAGTCCAAGGCCATCCCTGGGCAAAAACAAGAAATCCTATCCAAAAAATAACTACAACTAAAAAGGGCTACAGGCAAGGCTCAAGTGATAGAGCATCTGCCTATTGAGCAGAAGGCCTTGCGTTCAAACCCCATTAACCACCACATAAAAAATAAAATAAAAGTAAATTTAAAAAACTAACTAAAAAGGTATGTAAAGCATGACTACAATGACAAGGGTTTCAAGTGAAAATTATCTAAGAATCAATTAACACATATGCCAGGTGATTGGAATGGTGTCTGGCTGGGGAAGTTTCTGATCTAAATTGGGCCTGAGAGGATTTAACTTCTTCAGAATTATCACTCAAGTGAAATACTGATAATAATAGTACCATTATTAATTTCAATAAGTGACCCCTAACCTACTCTCTTAACAGCAAATACACACTCTTTTGCACCAAACCTAACAGCTATGTTAAAATCCAACCTAACAAGCCAGGTGTGATGGTGCACATCTGTAATTCTAACAGTCAGGAAGAAAAGGCAAGAGAATCTAGAGTTCCAGGTCACCCTGGGCTACACAGCAAGACCAGATCTCAAAAAACAAAGCAAAGCAAGCAAACAAACAAAAATCCAATCTAGCTCTTCACTACATTTATAATAAACATGAATGAGCTTTCCAGTATATATAAAACTAGAGTTTATTCTTGAGTTTTCTGAATCTTCTATCCTACACAGAAATGATTAAAAGATTACTTTTAAGACCTTGCCCATACTTCCTGGCATAGTGGCCAAAAAAGGGCATTTTATCCCATGTGTCAAATTCAAATACTAAAATAGCTTGCTGTCAGTTTCAGAAACCATTTTTTACAAGCATGGCACACTGCCTCAAGCCAACTAAACACTAAAGCATGTTGGCCTTCCCACCCTGCAAATTATGTGGAATGTTCTCCATGTTTTGTGGTTGCAAAAGTACTGATTTTGTTGGATCATCCAGTTCAAACTGGGGACACATCTGACCTTAAAGAGAAAATTCCCACCATAGCAAAACTATAATTGACCAAGATCCCATTACTTTGACAGTCTGTGATCTCAGGGTCATAGTCAAACTTCTGAAATGTTATTTTTTGAAGGCTAAAGAGACACAACGTAAACTCTGTGAAACTTGTTAATGTATTTCAGGTAAACACTAAAGAACTCACTCACCCTAGTTGCACAAAGAGGAGGTAGGTTGCCAAGTGCAATAAAGTAAAGAGTATTTGTACCAAATACATTTCTGGTAAATGCCTAACAAATTAAAGCAAAAATCAGTCTAACTGCAATTCATTTCATTTCTAGCTTTCATACATATGCCAAAATGTAGCAGCTTCAGCTGTGAAATGTGGCTAAGAAATATTACAAAGGTAAAGGAGATAGTTTTCCTTATTAAAACTGCAGCCCTATGTTATTCGTATTACTTACCCAATCATTAAGATGTTTCACAAATTGGAGTGCCAGGAGTTCCCTAAGGTTTGCCTCTTAAGCTTTTGAGGTCTGCTGGCTAAGCCACCAATTTATGGCAAATGACCTAAAGGTCATGTTTGAAGTGGTAAAAGAAGAAAATGCTATATTAAGAAGCTAAGTTTTATCTAGAGATTCGTCTACTAAAGATAAATTATTGGAGCCAAGAAATGCCTGACTCACTCATCCACTGGTGAAACAATCCAATCCATTTTAATAGTTAAATAAATACTTAAGATCATCGGTGTATGGCTCCTCAGGGCAAGCTTTATGAATTCAAGAACATACTTAGAAAACAGTATTTTTTAAACTTAACTGATATCTACTAAAAATGCTGAAAGATGACAAGTCCTAACAAGAACTATTTTTAGCTTCTGATCTTTTAGACCTGCTGTTCTTACTGCACATGTATCATCAAGTTCCTGAATGTTTTTCCCTGTGCTAGATAGACAGATGGACAGATATAAACATGGGTGATATGGCTGTAAATCTATATAAATAAATAAATTAATATAATATGCATATGTTTCAAAACAATTATTCATAAAGCAATCATCCCAAATCAAATGTAATTATTCAAAATCTCAAGGTATGTCACATTAATCACGACAGTTCTAGAAACTAAGTCACATGCACCTTAGAACCCCACTCTCACCTGGTACAGTGGTAACTGCAGTTAGGGTTTTAAGTATGTGACTTTTCTAAGCAAGCTGAAAATGTACAACTGACTGCAATTCTCGGAACAATGCTTGAGATGTTGAGTTGTTTTTTAAGTTTTAGTTCTAGTATGTTTAACAGCAAAGTGTCAAAATTGTACTTAAAGACAAAAATCTATGTCCCAAATAAATATTTTGCAATACTGATGGTATTCTGGCATGCTTTCTTGCAAAACTTCCTATTGCAAATAAGATGTTTCTTACACTAGTCTCTGACTATTTTGCTAGTATGCATCTTTCACACACAAAATTATATGTAGAAAATATACCTATGGATTTACTTTCAATACTTCATGACACTTTTCTTTAAACAAGCTCTCACATTCTATTTGTATTGTTCAAAGTGATCTGGATGATGTAATCGATTATGTCACTAAAAGTTTGGCTGTGCAATAGTTCACAAAATATGGGGCTTTTCATTAGCACTTCTCCTTTTTTGTAGCTGACATCAGATGTACCTGCTGTGAGCGGAGACAGAAACAGGAATGAACAATCAATCGGGGTGTCTCAGAGTGAGAGTGTTAAGTACACATGATGGCTTCCTTCACCCATGGAACCCATGAAAAAACAAAAAGTTACCCATCGGTGTAAAAAACGTACTTATATATTAGGTATATCAAAAGATTAAATATCTCATTCATGAAAACTCTCTGAAGCAATGTCAGGGTATACAAGAAACACCAGGTTTTGTTTACCATTCTTAGAAATACTACTGCTAAAACTAGTTGAGTATTCTTATTCTAAGTCATAATGCAAAACAAATTTACCAATAAACAAAGAAAATCCTATTTTTAAAAATATGGTTAAACCTAATCCTACCTCATTGAAAAAAAAAAAATACAACCTACTACATGGATACCAGTATTTCCTAAGTGTCCAGACTGAGTCTAAATATTTCATCAAAGACTAAACCATCACTTTGAAAATCTGGACCAGCCCTGGAGGGTAATTTTCATAAAGATATGTTGTTGAAGATTTTGTATACACCCCGAGGATATGAGAGAGAGAAAGAGAGAGAGAGAGAGAGAGAGAGAGAGAGAGAGACTGAGATTCATTCTTAAAAGGGGCGGGGGAGAGAACTAAAATCAGGGCGAAGCTGCAAACCTACCAGGCTGCAAGCCAGCGCCGCAAGCCTAGCCACACGTAGGAGGGAACCCCTAGCACAGTGCTGCAGCTCGCCAGGAGCCTTCTCCCTGGGCAAACGAGGTGAACGTCGAGCCTCCGGGGCGGCGAGACCGCAGTGGGACAGTTTCGAGGATGCGGTCCTTTCCTGGCCCTCAGCACTCGGGCTCCCGGCGCCACACGCAGGGACGATGCGCTCGGGCGCAGTGTGCAGCCGCGGGTTCCTAGAAGGCCGCGCGGCTCCAGCGGCACCAGGAGCGCGTAGAAGCCGGGTCCCCGCTGGGCCCCCAGCGCAGCGCTGGCTGCTCAAACAACTCGCGTACCGCCACAACAACCTTACGGAAGACGGAGCTCCCAGGCACAACTTCGGTCTCAGCAGCCTCATCCCCCCCACGCACTCCGCCCCACGGCACATCCTTCCCGCGGCCGCGGATCCAGGCGCCCCGTACCTGTCCCGGCCCAGGACGCGAATCACCTCATACAAAGGGCAGCGCGTGGGCGCAGGTCCCAGAGCCCAGGGAGCATGGCCCCATCCAGTTGCTCCCGGAACTTCGCTGGCATAGCACTGCTCCCCTCCGCTCCAGAGAACGTCGCTTCCAGGCAGAGAAGGGGGACGGCGACCTCGCGGTAGTGGTGGCGATCTGGGCGGCGGCGGCGGCGGCGGGAGCTGGAGCAGAAAGTGAGGAGCATCACGGCGGAGCGCCTCCGCCTCGCGATCTGCAGAGGGGTTCCCGCCCCCAGGGTAACCAAAACTCCCTCTTAAAGGCGCCAGTCCCGTTTTAGCTTGCAAGGGGTGGTGGAGAGGAAAGAGGGGGAGGAGGCAAGTGAAGAGGGAGGGGAGAGTAGGCACTGAGCGATCCAGGGAGGCCTCCGCCCTGGCTGTCCCAGGCTGGTCGCTGGCTGGTTTTCTGCTCCTCCGCCTTCCCTACCCATCCTCCAAATCCAGTCGCCTCTGCTCCTGGGCAAAGGTCCCAAGGGTATAGCAAGTGCACGGACCCAGCACGGAGGCTACGTTGGCCTGCACCCCGCTAAAGTCCATGGAACTCACCTCTGCTTCTGTTCACACCCTTGTTAGAGTTTTGACTCTCAACCCTCTCACCGCACCACCACTTTCTCCCCTTCCCTGGCGCACTCAAAATAGCCTTTCCTAGGGTGCTTGCCTTTCCTCCCTGGTTGTTCTCATCTCCAACACTGTGAGGAGGGGTTCACCCAGGAGTTCAGTTGGGGCCCCTACATAGACCCTTGAAGGTGTCGCTGATGTGTGGCAGAAGAGACTTGCCATATGCCTTGCTTTACCCCAGCACTGTGTTCTCTTCCAAGGGCCACTTGCCAGGTGGCCTCTAACTGGATTGCTGGAACCACTGACTTTCATGAATGTAGATTGTAAAGATTGCCAAACTAAATCCAGGAAGGCCCTGGATGATGCTGCTTTTGAAATACTGCTCTCAAGGAACAAATGATATTTATTCCCAGCTATCATCAACATTTGTAATAATCTAAGAGGTGCCAAACTGCTTTTGGTTGAAAAGCACTGACTCCTTACTTGGGCCCAAGAATTATCTAAAAACATGAGAAAAATTTGGCATTTCTGTCTTCGTTTTGTACCTGTCGTCCTTTACTCTGAGCCATTCTCTCTTGCATCCACCTTGGAATCAAGGAACGACAGAACTGATAACATCTTCATGATTGAAACTACCCCTAAGTAACACCAGAGCCTTGCAGGATAGATCACCCCCTCCAAATAAGGACAATTACCTATAATAATGAGCCTGCACCCTGGAGTAGAGATAAGCATGTCTTGGCAACCAAGACATTACTCCTCCCAAGTGATGACAGCTATAACAACTTCTCTGGAACCCTCAAAAATCAACAACTGAGATACTGGTCAAAAAGGCCCCAACCAACCATGGGAACACACCTGTGACTGGGACTGTTTATGCATATCTTTTGCCTCTTGCCCATCTTTGCTTATTTAAAGCTAAGTCTCATGTCTGTACCCCAAAGATGGCTGAAAATGGGCTGCGAACTTACTTTGCCTCTTCTTGTGATATGTCCCAGGCCATGTAATAAAACTCCTTTAAAGGCTACCAAGTGGCTGGACCCAACATGTGGAATCCCAGGAGTTTGGGCCTCAGGTTCAAAACTCTGATTAGAATAACCAACACCAGGGCAGGGTGATGATGATGCCCAGGAGGCCCACATCATCAGCAACTGTTGTGACCCATAGACCCAAGCAACAGTTAGCAGTGGATGTGAGCAGCAGAGGGTTTGCCACTGTCCACAAGCTTTGTTTTGCTACCTCATGGCTCCAACCCTTGCTTCTTAGTGCTGAGGGACCTCAGCATAGATAGTGTCATTTGCACTCTACACTGTGTCTTCTGGCTAAACTGGAAATGGACAGGCAATTGGGGTTAAGATCCACACTGAGCTCCAAAGCACCATTTCTAGCTGGGCACTCAGAGAGATTGGCATTTTCTCCTTCACCCAAAGGCACTTGCATGATCCATCACTGGCCTGAAACTGGACCTGAACATCTCAGTTCTTCCCCCCTCCTGCCATCTGCAGCCACTGTTGAAACAAGTACTGGTATTCAACTTGTAAAGAAAGAAGGCAGGATGAGCATATGGAAAAGGTGGGAGCAAATTACCACATGGAGAGGAACCAAACCCTGGACTCTAGGAAAGCAGGAGACTAAGACTGGAAAGGCAGTAGGCAAGAGTGAAGGTATCTTGATTTTATGATAAACTCCTATATGTTCAAGATAATTGGATATGACAGGTACCTAACTCAAACTGACTTAAGAAAACCTATAGCAGGGGGATTGGAATTTATTGGTTCATATGTTTATAAATCGCAAAAGTAGAAATGGCAAAAACTGTACTTTCAAAAATCTTTACTTTTTGTTATTCTTTCAGATGCTCAAAGAGTGTGAAGACTCAGTTTTTCGCTTCCAACCTCTTTAGCAGCTAATTTCATCAGCAAGAAAGCTAGCAAGGGTAATTTTCCTTGGATTCACTTGCATCCTGTGCTCACCTGTGAACTAACCATTGCAACTGGAGATGGAATGTGCACTGCCAGGCTGGCTCATTTGCTTATGTCTGAAAAATGTCAAGGGTAATAGTTTTAGTATTCCATTCTCCATATATATCTAAGCCAGATGGAGTGAATAGAAGAGGTTCCCTAAAAAAATAATTAAAGTGTTAACAAAGAAGGGGAATGAATATTGAGTAGACAAATAGCACAGATTCCCAGTACAATCCCCATTCCTCAACACACATATGCATGACCTCTGCCACTGCCACTGTTACCACCACCGAAGGGACTGACTACCTTTCTGTTACCTTCAGCTATAGCCTCAAGTTTAGAAGTTTGAGAATGCTGATGGTCATGGAGTTTCACGTAATTGAGCCAGCTAGTCACATCCTTTGGCTCAGGACCCACGGGAAAGTTACTTGGTGTTATTTAGCAACTACTTGCAAACAAACAATATCTAAAACATAATTTGTCTTTGATGATTTTTCCCTAAATGATGGTAACTCTTGAAACATACATCCCAACTCACATTCATTGTTAGGTCTTATGTTATTATGTAATCAATTCAACTTGATAAAAGTCCTTAGAAATTCCTTGTAACTGTACACGTTCATTCAACTTGAAAAAAATTGCTATGAATAATCACATGTCCATTTTTACACTTTAGTAACTTCTTATCTTTTCACAGGTAGAATGGAGGATTTTATATCTTGTCTACCAAAAATGCTACTTTCCTCCTATTTCTTTTCACACAAGAAACCTTTCTTATAGTTCTAAATTTAAAAGTTTCCTGTTTTTCTTCCTTCACTTGTAAACTTTATAGAATCCCATACATATTGAAAAACAGACACAAAAGACACAAATCCAGAAGAGACTAGCATAATCTGAAACATCCCCTTCACTTCAGAATTAAGAAATGGAAGTTCAAAGGTTGGTTTGAACAGGGCTACAGGGCTAAGCAGTTGTTTTTAGCATCTGTAGTGTGCTTACATTCAAAGGAATGGAAGCAAAAGCATAGAATGTAGTCACTGCCCTCAAAGAGATTAAACTTATTTAAGGAGACAGACCATTTAACACATAAAAACAATTACGAGCATCATAATATAGCATATAATTAATTGTATAATTTTTAAAATGTGAAAAGAAAGCTGGACTTGGTGTTGTACATCTATAATCCCAATACTTGGAATGTACAGGCAGGAGAATCATGCATTTGGGACCAGCCAGGGCAAAGTTAGCAAGACTATCTTCAAAACAAAATACAAACAAAAGGACTCAGAGCATGACTCCAATGGTAGAGCGTTGTCTAGCATGCTGGAGGCCTTGCATTCCCAGTATGCAAACAAAATAAAATGTGTGATGAGTTCTCTGTGTTAAAAATAAGCATTACAGTAAAAGGCACTGTGGACTAGAGTAGTTTTGGGAAAACTTTCTATGGAAGAAGCAACTTAATGGCCTTAAAAAAAAAAAACAATATAAAACGAAGGGGTTGTCCAAGTAAAAAAAAAAAAACAATGAGAAAGCATTGACGGGAAAAAGATATTGCCATTTATTAGAACAGAAAAGTAAACTGGATTACCATGATTTTGAAAAGTGTTTCAAACTAAGTCATGACATCATTTTACTAGGTATTAGCCACTATTTTTGTTGGTGTAGTTGTTTTTGTCGAGCTAGTGATTAAACCTAGGTCCTCACACACGCTAGGCAAGTGCGGTGCCACTGAGCTACACGCCTATCCCCAACCACTGTATTTTTTAATTAAACAAAATAAACTTCAGTGTCATACTTAAGATTAAATATTCGTTTTAATTAATACTTGTGTTTATCATGTATGTTGAATTATAATGTAAATTCTGTCTTATAAGTTCAAAAGCCTTGATACTAAAGCCAAACAGATAAATTTGAAACTGTACTTTCTGGCCATATATTAAGCAAATAACATCTTTCCAAACTTCAATTTTCTTAGGTGCAAGATTTTAAGCACAATCTTCTGCATGCAAGAAGTCCTGTAAATAGTTCCCCTTATTTATTAACTAGATTGCAAATTTTCAACATTACAATCACCTGAAAGTTTTTTAAAACTGTCAATGCCTGGGAGCCACCCTCAGAGACCCAGATTCAGTGAAGCTAGAACTCCCCAGGTGGTTCCAGTGCACAGTCATGCTGAGGACCCCTGGACGGTACCGATAGCAAAACACATCTAGCCCTGAGGAGCACGAGGATACACTGTCTCTTTAGTCAGGGGGCACAGTGACTTTCATTATTTATGTTTCTAGTATCTTCATCAGGCACGCATAGCATGCTAGATAGTCAGTCGAATCCTAGCTATTTTCTGCTCCACATTGCCTCTGACAAAATCCTCAACTGTGGGCCAAACTACTAATAGTTTACCTCAGTCAACCACACAACATGAATCTCGAATCATAATCTTTTATGTGCTTCTCCACATGTACAATTATGGTCAGTTATCAGCACCCAGTAGTTTGTGGAGGTCTTAAAAAGTAGTAAAATGCCACCAAAACTCCCTAAGGAAGAGAAGGGCTAGAAGCAAATGGGATAGGAAATCCATAAGCTGAATCATTAGCAAATGACTCATTAAATTTTAGCAAGTTTCATCCAGACTTTTAATAGTGTAGCTTCTAAATATA